GCCTTCTTTGCCAGCATCGTGGTTGTACAGTGGGCTGACCTTATCATCTGCAAGACCCGCCGCAACTCAGTCTTCCAGCAGGGCATGAAGTGAGCAACCCAGCCCCACTGGGCACCAACCCACCCAAGCAGAGGGGGCTCTGGGTGTACTCACTAATCCACACAGCCTAGGCTTTCAACCCCTGGGTCATCTCAACCTGTGGGCCCGGATCTGCCTGCTTGGGGCAGCGGGGAGGGAAGGGCATCCGACTTTAATTACCCATCTGTACATCCATCTATATGCATATATTGGAGGTCACTGGTGGTTCGGTGGTAGAAATTTTGCCTTCCATGTGAGAGCTGTGGATTCAATTCCCAGCCCATGCAGCTTATGCACAGCCACCACCCACCTGTCAATGGTGGATTGCCTGTTGCTGTGATGCTAAAAATTTCAGTGGAGCTTCCAGACTAAGGTGGACTAGGAAGAAAGGCCTGGTGATCCACTTCTGGGAATCAGCCATCAAAAATCCTATGGGTCATGATGGTCTGATTTGCAACCGATCATGAGGATGGTGCAGAACAAGGCAGTGTTTCGTTCTGTGGTGCATGATGTCGCCATGAGCTGGGGGCCAACACAACAGGAGCCAACAAACAGCAACAACATATCCATAGCTGAGTTTGAGATGGACTAGAGAAGAGGAAGAAGTGTACAACTGGTTCTGATGTTTTAATTTTGCTGCTAAAGTGTACTTTGTAATGGTCCCCTCCACCTTCCTTCCTTTTCATCTCTCCATACCTTTTTTCTTCCTTCCTTCCTGTCCCCATCTCTTATTCTAGGGCCACCCACCCCCACCCATTGCCCAGCCCTAAATCCAGGGTGTCCTGTGCTCCCCTACACCCAGCGTGGCTCTAGCACAGAGCACTTGCCCTGTGGTGGTGTTGATATCTGTCTGGAGGGCTGTGAATTGCTCAGGGTCAGGTTCAGTCCCTTCTTACAGTGGGAGTTACCATATGCCAGACATTGCACTAACTGTTTTACATTGTTCGACCTCACAATAGCTCTATGAGGTAGGTATTATTATTTTCATTTAATGGATAAGAGGCCCCAAAAGGCTAAATGGCATGCTTAAGTTCACCCAGTTGGTAAAGGCCTGTCTCCAAAGCCCAAAGTCTTGGTGGCTCATCTATCACAGAGCCTGACCTCTGTCAGGTGCTGGATAATTACTTCATGACTGTAGCAGGAATAGGGGTGGAGTGTTGAAGGTATCCTTCCTGTTCTCTTTACTTTCTTCTACTGTAAACCAAAAGCCCCAAGTGAATTTTGTTACAGTTTCTTAGTCAGGAAAGGAAGAAAAAGATGCCAAACCACCGGTGAAGTTAATAGCATATAAGATTCTGGAGAGAGGAAGAAGTTTGTTAGAGTAAAGAAAATTAACATGAAGACGATTCCAGTAAGCTCAGAACACTAATGGGGAAAATGCAGTGAGAAGTGAATAAAGAACAGAGAGTCCAAAGACATTGGGTACCGTTCTGGGGCCTGGGGCTTACTATATGCCGCATGAGGCACACAGGAAGCTGGTGACATACCAAATTGGCTAAATCCAGTCATCTGAGCAGCAAATGGAAAAGAAGCAGAAGGGAAGTCAGCCTGGGTACAGAGAAGAAGCACTAACACCAACACATCACCTGGCCAGAGGCCGCCTCGGAACACCTCAGGCCACCCCTTCAGGGTCCTCACAGGTGCTATTTGCATCATTTCAAAAAGCTGTATAGAAATGAAGCCTTTACCTGTGAGAAGGCTCCAAGGCTTACAAAAACGTTGTGATTCTCAGGCCAAAGAAAAGGTATCACGCAGTATGGTGATGGCTCACTAATCTGCAGTTCTGTTTGGAAGCTGTGTATGTTTCCAATTAACTTTAAATGGGGAAATAGATTCGTTGCTTATTTTAAAATGTGGCCTTCATAGAAGTAAAATAACAGGGGTCCTCAGTGAGTGAAAAGTTTGCGAACTGCTGACTTAAGTCCTAAAGAGATGCAGTATATACAAATACAAAAGGTCAAGCAGTAATGGGACTAGCGCTGTCCACGGTCAAGGGCTTTCCACACTGTGTCTCCCATAATTTTCCCTGCAGCCCCTGTGATAACGAGGTAACAATTGTCATTTTATAGAGAGGGATATGAGGCTCAGAGAGGTTAGGAAACATTGCTTAAAACCCAAAGCTAGCAAGCGGTACGGTAACCAAAAGCTAGTAAGGCCCCGCTGGGTCCAGAAATTGCCCTCATGGCCATATTCTATCCGGCTTTTCAGTTCTGATCTATTGTTGTTGTTAGTTGCTGTCGATTTGATTCCAACTCATGGCGACCCCATGTGTGCAGAGGAGAACCGTGCTCCA